CCTCCTAAAGTGCTGGGATTACAGGCATGAGCCACCGCACCTGGCCACTTTCCTTCCTTCCTTTCTTCCTTCCTTTCTTCCTTTCTTCCTTTCTTTCTTCCTTTCTTTACTTCTTTCCTTCTCTCTCTCTCTCTTTCTTAGATAGAGTGTTGTGTCTTGCTCTGTTGCCCAGGCTGGAGTACAATCTCAGCTCACTGTAACCTCCACCTCCTGGGTTCAAGCGATTGTCCTGCCTCAGCCTTCCCAGTAGCTGGGATTACAGGTGTGTGCCACCACACCTGGCTAATTTTTGTATTTTTAGTAGAGCTGGGGTTTCACAATATTGGCCAGGCCAGTCTTGAACTTCTGATCTCAGGTGATCCACCCACCTTGGCCTCCCAAAGTAGTGGGATTACAGGAGTGAGCCACTGCGCCTGGCCTCTATGGTTACTTTCCTTACAGTAGTGGTGGGCAGCAGAGAGGCGGGGCAGTGGCCTTGTAAATCTGGGAGTCTCTCATAGTTAAGGTTAGTCTCTTACCTGTCTTTGCACTCTGCTTCTGGCCAGAGTCAGGGCTCGGCAACTGCCTAATTTAAGTATGAGAAAGACACATGGTCACATGCCTAGGCCCTCTTCCTGCTGCCTGTAACCCAGCACCCTCAATAAGCAACTGTTGCCACCCCTCCGGCCCTGCTGTGAGAGCCCCTCAGCAGACATTTCCAGTGTGATTATTGCATCAGGTGGACCTGTGCTAGGGAAATCAGCACAGAATGTCTGAATATTTCATGAGCATCTCACTCATGAGCACTTAATGCACGTAACTCAGGAGAGCGTATTCACACCAGCTCTGGATACCAGGAGACCTGCACCAGAGGGTACATGGTCATTCAGAGGCTGGTTGGTGTGTTCTCTGAGGAGTTCTGCTCCTCACTTGGGTCCTTTGCCTCCAGTGGGTGGTGTCCACCTGCCTCCATCTCCAGAGGGCCTCTGCAGTGATGAGCATCCTAGTTCTTAGCAGCTCAGGTCGAGGTCCATAACAAGGAACAAAAGCATTGAGGTCAGGAGTTCGAGACTAGTCTGGCCAACATGGTGAAACCCTATCTCTACTAAAAATATAAAAATCAGCTAGGTGTGGTGGCACACACCTGTATTCCAAGCTACTCGCGAGACTGAGATAGGAGAATCGCTTGAACCCAGGAGGTGGAGCTTGCAGTGAGCTGAGATTGCACCACTGCACTCCAGCCTGGGAGACAGTGAGACTCCATCTCAAAAAAAAAAAAGAAAAGAAAAGAAAAAGAAAAACATACTGTTATAGAGTCTGTTTATAGCCTTCCTGTTTATTAAATAAATGGTGAGGTGGTGTTTCCCTTTGCTCATTTAAAAAATAATATTTGACTGCCTACCCTATTCTGTGTTGGAGATACAATGGTGAGGAAGATCAAAGTCCCTTCTTTCCTGGAGCTTATGTTTTAGTAGAGGAGAGAAAACAAACACATAAGTCAAATCAGATAGCGATAATTGCCATGAAAAAAATAGGATAAGAAGATAGGGACTGGGCAAGGGAGGAGGTGAAACTCCATGCTTTAGATAGGGAAGAGCTT